AAATTGCTAAACCTAATAATTGACGCAAGCAAAAGTTTAGTAGGTGCGACCATACGTTTTGACAACAATTATAAATAGCATAACCGTTCTTATAGTATAACTTTATTAAAATATTATTAACAATTTTCTTCACTAAAAACAATACTAACCTTAAAATATAATAACTAAATAATAATGATAATGAATATGCATGCCAATTTTTATATGGCTGATTGTGCGATATTTTTAAATATTTAATCAATCTGAACGTACCACTTTCTTTGCAAATAAACGATTTTTATTTAAAAATATTATTTGAAATTCCATATGAAATTTTACGATGAGTTCAAACTTAGTGATTCAGATGCGAGAATCCAAAATGATGAAATACAAAAGGTTTGGTTGTAAAAGTTTTGCTTAGTGCAATCGGGCGCGTTGCGAAATTTAATGTAAACAGAAAACATTAAACAACTTTTAGAGTGCATGCGGAGTTTCTTGAATTTGTATCCCAATACTCCATCTTATAATTAAATTAACTTTGAGCTGGGTATAAGTAGCGTAAAACTCACACTTTGAGTGAACATCTTGAGAAAACCGGCACATCTTACATTTAGATCCATATCGTAATCCGTATACCAAGTTAAGAATAGCTATCAAATCCGTCAGACTTCATACGGAAAAAATGGTTTCATATCATTGACACATGGGAGCCATACCTAGCAAGTCTAAATACCACACTTATATCCTAACGTAAACATGTACCTACTTGCTTATGAAACAAAAATAATCAGAGCAATATATTCTATCTGAATTATTATTTTGGTCGGTATATCATGAACAAAGACGGTAAGTATGGCGGGAAATCTAAGAAAATTTAATTTGACGTAAGCATACTTATTCAGTGACGAGACACAATAAGTGAAAGGGTTTCTTTTCAGGTATCTTGGCTAAAAAATTGAGGTAAGTAATGGAACGTGAATAACAATTCAGTGGGTGGTCCCCTAAAGAGGGGGAGATTTATGGATGCCCGTTTGTAACATCTGTCGTTCGAGAGATCATCGATTACTTTAAACACCTTGTTTCTTGTCTACGTTTGACTTGTCATTGTAAATTTTTTTAGCAACTTAAAGCATACTTAGATTACCAACTAAAATAAAATAAAATAATCAGCCTTTGTCACTCCACGCTTTGACAAATTGTATTGCAATATTTTAACTCTCACTAAATAAAAAATCTTTCGTTTTGGAAATAAAGATAGTCATTAATTATATTAATATTAAAATAGAAGTTGGTACGTTTCTTAAATGTTTTAGTGAATGTTAAATAGCTACTGTACAACCTGAACCACTGATGAATGTTTACGTCCAAATACCGTAATGAAACTTAAGGTACTGATATCCTAACCTAGGTTTAAAGGAGGTACATAAAACACTTCAGAAAGTTATCTTTAAATCAAAAAGTATTTATAATTAATCACAATAATTCTTGTTTGGAAAATATTACTTTCCGTTTCTGGAAAATATTATACTCCACTGAAACATTGTCTATTTCATTACGTTATTTCAATTTTGTTTTGTCAATTTTGTTCTCGAGTAAAAAGGTATTCTCCGAGCACAATACTTGTGCAATTGTGATAAAATCGTTCGATAAACATTAGATTATATTATGCAAATTGAAGAGACATTCAATCTGTATAATATTTTGTATATTTGTGTTCCTGTAAGGAAAAAAAGACTAGTCAAATAAAGAAGGTATTTTTTTCGACACCCGGCTCCTTTGCTCACACGAAATCATGCATTTGATAGTGATTGCACAAACGGACGTAGTAATATTGTGTTGACCAATCACAATCAAACGGAACGCTTCGTCGTTTCCTCTTTCGTTTTACATTCCCACGTCTGCTGCTTCAAAGCGATACTGATGTCATTTTCAATAATAAAACCAATAATTAATTGGCAGAATTCAATATCGCTAACCGTGGATTGATTTAATAATTGTTATAACTCTGATACGTGACAAGTTAACAGCGATTTGCATATATTAAAAATATCATAAGACAGTACCGATTCTTTCATTGATAAAATGTAATTTCCTGATAAAAGCAATAAATATGGTACAAATTAGCAACGAAACTGGATACATTAGTTTTTAAATAAAAATTAATATCGCATTCAAGTGTGAGAAATGAATTGGGGTTTGAAAAGCATTTATCCAATATTTATAATGCATATGGATGAAGACATCAGCATTGGTTTCATAATAGTGTGATGACGTTATTCTTGGGGAGGCATGTCTAATAAAATAGGCCTTGTTTTAGAGCCAACTGAAAAAAAATATTTAGAGTACAAGATAAACACAAAAAAGGGTGTGTGTACTTATGTACGCGCGTTAGAAGTTATACTTCTTTGGCATTATTAAAAATAGTTTTTGATTGCATAAATAATAATTACAATTAAATAATCAAAGACTGGAAAAGGAGTCATTGTAGTCAATAAAGGTCAGTTTACATTTGAAAAATTAAATAAATAAATATTTATTATTATTCTCTTACATTAAGTGTAACATAAATTCTATTATTATTTTTTATTCGAATGTTGTTTTTAAATTATGTCCAATGCCGTAGCATCTTCCGTGGGCCACTTCATTCTGTTAATTTTGTTTCACGGTGCGCGCGCATCGTAAAATTTCACTCTCATCAATTTTTCATAACGCGCCTAAAGAAGTATAACTTCAAAAATAGTAATGTAAGAGAATATGTTTTATAGTATATTGAGCAAGTATGCTTTTCACAGTAAGCGATTATTCGGGAAAGCTTATGGAGACAGGTTGAAAAGAATTTTGCTGCGAGCATTCACAAAAATCGTGACCGCAGCCACACCAACTTAGGGATGTCAGAATGGACAATACGCGAATTGAATTTAACGTGAATGGGCAGTATGGCCGTCATATGATTTTTTGGAAGCTATTGTGAAGGCGTGGTGCGTGTTGTTTTGTTAAAGTGTTAGTGTGTTAAGTGTGCGACTAACACATTTTTCTTTCTTTGTTATGTCGTCTGTTGAAGGAAAATATCGTGACTGCTTTGATCAAAAATTCACAATTTGTTACATTAATCATTCAATATTCTGAATGATGAAATATGCAATTGCAGGTCGTCACTTCAAAGAGTTATTGCTATTGAATATTGAATTAGATTGCAAGAAAAGCAATAATTGTTTTGAATATTAACGGGAGAATAATACCATACTACATTTAAAAGAAGCAGAGTATTAGGTACACGTAAAAATATAATTGTTTGAAATCGTCTCTACGTTTAACATTTCATTTTAACGTAAAAGTAGACTAAACAAAGTTACTTAGACGTTAAACTTATATTATCTGGATTCGTTTAATTGCCACCTGGCTAGGGACTAAGTTTGAAAATATTGTGTATGCATTGATAGAAAAAACTTTTCCATTGCAAAATTATGAATGACGATACTGTTGACTTCTCATTACTAAAAACAACGTGGTGACAATTTTACATTGTCAAGGTTGATTTATTTATAAACTATTTATGTATATACATTTTTCTTCCTTAATAGTTTATTATTTACAAATCTACTTTTAGCATGACAAAATCTTTATCCAAATAAATCCGACGCCCGAGCAAAAAAGCGATTCTTGGAACATTAGATTTCAACAAAAGTTTTAGAAGATATCATAGTTTCGAAACCACGCGCGCATCTACAATGTTAAGCACGCAAGGTTAAATTAATGTGGGTGAAATCGTAGAACCTAGCTAGTAATAAGATAATGTCTCATACCACGGAAATGTTCAATCCATTTTATTAAATATGCACCTGGAAATTCGCAAAGCTGAGATTTCTAGCGACAGCCCTACTCAGCAGTAAATAAGGATTAGGGGATATTGGAAATGGGTTATTCAATCCACAAGGATCCTCTGCACGTTCAGAAATATAAACTTCTTGTTTACATATTTTAGGGTTGATGGAAAGGGCATACGTTACATTTTTTATATTTTAGATCATTTCTTTATTTTGAGGGTGAGAAGAAACGTCTTAAATGTGTTATAAATATAGCGTCGTATTTTTTCTTTGTATACTCACATAAGAAGCAACTGAATAAAGCAAACGAATTAATAAATTTGAACTAACAGCACACAGACTGAGTAGTCGTAGTTTCGATCCCCGACTGGGCGCCAATGGACTTTATGTCTATGAGCAAATACGCTCACAAACACGTACGGTAAAGGAAATCATCGTGAAGAAACTCGCATGCCTTTGACCTTAAAGGTTGACGGCGTGTGCCAGGCAGAGAAGGCAGACGGAATAGAGATCTGAGGCCGATACTCCTTATTTACTTAATTGAAACCAAATAGAGGTATATCACTTTTAATGATATTATTGAATACAAAATTCCAATAAAAGAAATATTTTATATTAAGCTGCTAACTTAATTTTAGTGGTTAATTACCATTAATATTTCTAATTTAATTATTTAATAAAATTTTAATTTATATAGTTTAATAAAAACTGTACATTTTCAATATAAAAATAAAATCTCAATTTTTATAAATTATACCTAAAGATAAATTATCACCTCGATATCTTCAATATCGTACTCTAAATTGAGCTATTTAAGTAATTAAAATCATTTTAATATAAATAAATATTACAAATCGGACTCTTGACTTTTTCTATACATACATGTTACGGTCTCATGTTTTTTCCGCTCTCATATAAGAGAATAAGTGAACGTATAAAAGTATCACTATGTACAACAATGTCATGACACAATGTTGGAGGAATTTAATTGATTTCGGACAAAGACCGCTATAAACCTGTTAACCTACGTATACCTAAAAGTATGGTAAGTACCTAAGAGTATTACGGTGAGAGAATTTGTTAATAATTTTCCCACCGAACGTCTACCTTCCCATAAATGTAATACCTTTCGTACCGAAATCTAGGGTTCGGAAATAAGCTTCATAAGATTATGTGGAATGAAAATCACGGTGCAAAATGTGTTTAGTGGGATTAGAAATACACGTTAAGCTCCTTACCGACATGTTGGGGTGAATTCTTTAATGATAAATAAATAAAATTATGAGGTTTTAACATAATTTTTTAAGCGCCCATTTCATAACAAATAATCAGCGTATGAACTCCCAGGTTAGTGGGTGCGTTGCCGGACTGTTGGAGGTATCCCAGAGAAGTACTCACACAAAAGGAAAGCCCTGAAGAAGCGGACCGTGGAATACTTCTAGCCGTCGTGGTGGTGTGGATGAAACCTGGAATTATCTCAGCTTGTTCAGTAATGAAACGAGGCCTGCTGGATCACCGTTTTAACTAAAGTATTTATATGTCACTTTTCATCACAGCGTAAACACAATTTGTCAGAAAGAGACGAAATAGTGCTTTAGTCCAGAGTGTAATTGGATAGATTTAGTTTGTATTCAGGAGGCTAGTATTTGTTTTATTTATCTCATATGGTAGGTATGTAATAATAGTAATAATATTTTAAGAGCGGTGCTACTTTGCAACGAAATTTGGACGTGACTTAATCATAGAAGTACTTTTTAGCTAACGATTTAAATTATCCGTTGTCCGTTTAATATTAAACATTTATCATATATTAATACCTACTCTTAATGCGGATATAATTTTAACTAGCCGTTAGAAGTAGTTAAGCATAATATTTAATCCAAGATTTTCCTCTTCCTCTTTTTGAACGTATTTTCCTCTTAAAGGTTGTGTAATTAGTTTTTAATTAAATTTTCTTTTGTATGTTTCTCGATGTAAGATTTTATTCTCGATGTTAAACGAAAGACAAAATGTTACGTTCGATTGTGATTAGTGAAATTTAGTTAGTAAGTATATGTCCTAGTTAGTTACATGTAATTTTGTTGATTATTTATGAACATCTTTCACTTTATCCACAGTATACTTTTTATTTTTTCATACCAACCATTTTATTGCCTGGAAGAAATCGCTTGTTAGTGATAAGGCCGCCCGTTGCCTAATAACTTATGCAACCAGATTTTTATGTATGTTAAGGTAACAAAGCGTAAAGAGTAATAGCTAAAATATATTACTAAAAAAACCCTTTAGGCAAGGTTCCGAAGATAAATAAATAATAAATAAGCGTAAATAAACAAATAGTACTTGCGTAAATATTTTAAGGAATTGTTTAATTATTTTAATATATTAATTATAATTAATTATATATTACTAAAAAAACCCTTTAGGCAAGGTTCCGAAGATAAATAAATAATAAATAAGTGTAAATAAACAAATAGTACTTGCGTAAATATTTTAAGGAATTGTTTAATTATTTTAATATATTAATTATAATTAATTATATATTACTAAAAAAAACCCTTTAGGCAAGGTTCCGAAGATAAATAAATAATAAATAAGCGTAAATAAACAAATAGTACTTGCGTAAATATTTTAAGGAATTGTTTAATTATTTTAATATATTAATTATAATTAATTATATATTACTAAAAAAACCCTTTAGGCAAGGTTCCGAAGATAAATAAATAATAAATAAGCGTAAATAAACAAATAGTACTTGCGTAAATATTTTAAGGAATTGTTTAATTTACTAATCCTAAATGTCATAATTAAGTTCAGTCCATGACCCCATTTTTATATCCGTGTCACACAAGCTAGATTATCATTCCATCTAAATATAAGTTGAAAGCTTTTGGTCCAACCGTACACAGTTGAATGTCAACTCATAATGGAATGGTGACAATTTCCAGAACGGAGGCAAGTTTTAATGAATACTTGAATTTTTCTGTATCAAACTTCATAACAAAAACTACTAGTGCTAGCATTTAGCGCGAGACTACCAACTCTGATTCTGTGCGTTCCAGGCTAAGACTTGTTAATCGAGGACAATATTAAGAAACCTTGTCTTATACTGACAATGTTATAGGTATTGGGGTCATCTAGGTACCACAGAAGATTTCGTCATAATTGAGGACCAAAACTTTGTTTAGTAATTTTCTATATTCTGTATATAGTAATGCTACAGTTTTAAATAAATTATTTAGTTCCCTATGTAGCGCCCTCCAAATGGTGTTCTATAAATAAATAAAATTTAAATAACGTTGCCAAAATATTGACTAAAAGCTTAAATATGCATTAACACCGTTCACCGCAAAATGGATTCAATTTAATTGAAATGCCACTCGACTTATAGAACTTTATTTATCACAATCGTATTAGAATCGCAAGCCGGCACAGACTACAAATTATCTGGAAAACGTGGAAGGAAATTGGTAAAACGGAAAATTTTGTTAATCTTATATCTGATACAGTTAGCGTACCTGGATCCACGCTATTTTTTAATAAAGGCATTTCTGAGCAAGTTACGCATCGGATTTAGTATGGATTTTTCGAAATATTTCGTTACAGAAGAATATTGTGAAACTCATATTATTAAATTCTAGCAAGCTCCGGTTTCACATATTAATTTGTTCTTAGCGTGATATTAAATACCACCGATTCGTTTGATATGTAGCAGTTTGGTAGTTTTAACGCCCAAGAACTACTGAAAACACCAAGGCCGAAGCACACCTAGTGTCACCTGGTGTAAACCATTGTGGTATTAGTTTATTTAATTTTGATTAAAAAAAAATCTGTTCTTCAGAAACTTTTTTTTTTACATTTCGGAAATTATATTCATAAGAGATCAATGCAACTATATTTTATATGATTTTCTGTGAATATTTCTTCAGAAATTGAAAATTCCCTGTATCAGATCTAGTAATAAAAATCTCGTATTGTATACAAAAAAAATTAAAAACAAACCCGTAAATCTAATAGGCGTAAATCTAGTAGGTGATCAGCCTGATGGTGATACACGCCGTCGACTTTTTTTGGGTCTAAGACATGTCGGTTTCCTCACGATGTTTTAGTTTCGTTCGAGCGAATGTGCACATAAAAGGAAAGTCCATTGGTGCACAGCCGGGGTCGATCCTACGACCTCAGGGATGAGAGTTGCACGCTGAAGCCACTAGGCTAACACTGCTTGGATTGTACACAGTTGCACTAAAAGACTCTGTTTTTTAAAATCAAATACTAATTTTTATAACCTAGATTGTAAATGTAATCTAGCCAGCAATTAGGCTAAGTGGAGCCGAGCTACCTGTATAACCTTGTTCCTACCTAATTCAGATGCTTGAAATATCACTAACGAGTATTCACAAAAAATATTATATTTTTTTATTTTAGTTTTTATAGATTTATGATTAATCTTCAATGTCGAACATTTTTTTTAATTTTAGATTATTTACTAGAGACTATAGAACTTACATAAATTGTTATGTCTAATTATTTTCGTATATATAGTACATTATTTTTAAATTTTAAGTAAATATTAAGTAGATTATTTACTAGTTTAAGAACCCGCTAAACTCTTCTCTAGGGAAGAATGAGTCTAACCAGTCCTTATATATCATGCCTGTTGCAAGTTAATTTTCCTTCTGCAATTAGTTTTATTCAATTTGTCAATGTGGTTAAAAACAGTCTCCGACGAATCTTAACTCCAAGACAGTATTACAGGTGAGGCCATATTATTCACAAGCATCCTAAGTACTAATCACTAGTCACTAGTCGCAACTAATCTATCAACGTTTTGTGTCAAGTCACTGTCGCTTTGAATTTTTACATTTTTCGAAAATTGCTGTTGATTTACAAGTTATTCTACTCTATACGTAGATAGAGTATAGAACTAGATGAGCTTCTAAAATAACAATAATAACTAAAGAGAGAAGGCTCTCTCTCTCTCTCAGGCTTCTCTGTCTCTATTTGCGTATCGGGTTTTATTTGTTTACCACCGAGCCCTTGGTGGTAAACAAGTTTTCACCGCTTACTGATAAATCTGTGAAACCCAAGTCAACCCATATTTTAAGACTTTATCCTTATACGAGGTGTATTTAAAGTGTCAGTCATGGTGAATTGTTGCATAATTGGCTGTAAAAGCTATAGTGAACGTAAATAGCCAAACATAACCTTTCATCGGTAAGTAGCTTATTTTGTCACGACTCAGTAACATTGTTCAAGAATTATTCATTCGAATGTGTATTTTGGTTAATAATAAGCATTCTTCAATGAATTAAAACTGTAAATACGACAATATTAGTGGCATATAGATATACATTATGAAGTTATGTCAATCATTCGCTAGGGGTTAGGGGTTAGGGTAGAAGGACTCCTTTCTCCGCAATTAGACTCGTGGTTGGTCCGTTGTGCGTACGAGTCCTGGCTAATTTAGCCAGCCTAGCTCCTTCCAGAAGCACAGAAGTCTCCTGGGCACTTCACAGGCTTCCCGGAGCGACCTCACCGTTCCGAGGATTTTTTCACGTTGATTAGCCACAGCCTCGCATTCCAGGACTACGTGGGTGACTGTTTCCTCTGCGCTGAAACAGCCTCTGCACAGGGGGCTGTCTGTCGCGCCTAGGACAAAAAGATGTTTATTTAGGAGGCAATGACCCGTTATTGTCCCTATCATTATTTTAAGGTTGGCTCTATTTAAGTTTAGTAGTCGCTTTGTCAGTTGCGGGTTTACAGCTGGCAGAGCCACTTTGGACTGTCTGCAGGCCACACCATGCGACCATCGTTGTTGCTGGAGTTCAGCGGATCTCTGGCGAATCCAGGTTCGCACCAGCGAGAAGGGCAAAGGAAGGAGCGGATACGGGCCAGCAGGCATCATTCCGGAGCCTCTTCTCGCAAGCTCGTCTGCAGCATCATTGCCGAGAGATCCACTGTGTCCCTTTATCCACTGCAAGGTAACCCTATTGGTTCGGGTTATGACCTCCAGTGCTTCATGACACTCCAGTATTAGTTTGCTGTAGGTTTTTTGTTTCCGAGCGCCATCAGCACGGATGCACTGTCGGATACGAATTTAATGCAAAAGTCATTAATCCCTAGCCGTTGCACGGCTCTGGCTGCTTCGGTTAAGGCGACACATTCACATTGAAATATCGTGCTCTGTGTGCCCAAAGGTAGGTGTGTGTTAATGTTGAGATCAAGAGAGAATATGCCAGCGCCTGAGCCAGACCCTGTTTTGGATCCATCTGTATATATACGTAGCTCATTCACGGTCGACCGATCATGTTCCTCTTCTCTCAGTTGTATGTGATATTTCCTGTTAAATATTAATTGGTTAGTGATTCTATCACAGGGCGCAGCAATAAGAGGTTGATACTCTATTGCCCTGTTGAGAATCTCTGTGTGTGCACTATAGTGATTTTTTCCCCATAGATCCAGTACCATAAGCCTGATAGCAGCCAGGGCTGCCTCCTGCTGTATGTGTAGGTCCAGGGGTAAGATCTGCAG